CGTTTTCTGAGTTTGCCCAATGCATAAAAAGGATGCCAGAAAAAAGATGGCCAGGATCTGTTTTCTATGACCACAGAAACTAGGATCAGAAATAACTGGTCTAAATTGCAGTTAACCAGACTGAGTTTACATATAGGGAAACGTTTTCTGAGGGTAAGATCTGAAGATCAGGGGAACAGTCTACCCATGGAGATGGTGGTTTCTCCATCTCTGGAGGTTTTGAAGAAGGAACCACCTCTCATGGATGGTTTAATTCGTTTTCCTACACATTACAAAGGGATGGTCTAGATCAGTATTTTTCAACCTTGACCACTTGAAGATGTGTGGACTTTAATTCCCAGAATTCCTCAGCCAGCCATGCTGGCTGGGGAATTCTGGGAGTTGAAGTCCCCACATCTTCAAGTGGACAAGGTTGAGAAACACTGATGTAGAGAATCCTTGGGATCCCTTCCAACCCCACAGTTCTGCGATTCTCCACTGAACCATCAACTAACACAATGGGTTGGGTTTGTACAACAGGCCAAGCCCACCCCCATTCACAAAACCAAACCAAGATTAAACCAAGCGTAGCACGTTCCTGAACTGACCTGTCATGCGAATTTGGTCATACTGTTCCAGACATGCACATAGGGAGAGGTTTTATAGAAAGAGAAGAGATAAGAGGTCAAGGAACACCAGAGAGTCAGGGTGGGGTTTATTATCGGTGGGCAACTGAATCTGGGAAATGTGGGAAGCAGCCGTAGATTTCCTGCTGAGTTTTTCAACCTTTCAATTTTCAACCACGTCTTCTGAAGCTAGACAGAAGGGGGGACGGCCACTCTTCCTGTAGCAGAGAGCTCTGTTATTCTGTTCCATCACCAAGAGTTGCCCACCACCATCTCGTCTCCCGCACCCAAACATTTCACCCATACATAAACTTACTGCTGCTTTTCCACCTTGTAGGAGGCAGTGAGTTCATCAAAGAGCTTCCCGTTCATCTCCATGAAGGTCTTGAGGACATTGTAGACCAGAGACACAATGGTCCTGGGAAGAGAAGTAGGACGGTTGGGGGGGGACAAGGGGAAGATGAACCTGTGACACAGGCTGGAAGGACTGACATTCCTACAGCCCCACAGCTGTCACCTGCCAACTGACAGGGAGGGGAACCTATGCCAGACTCCCCAATGCTGGACTGGGAAGTGGACTTTCCCGGGTGGTTTTTTTAACTTTTTGGAGGATGGGGTCTGAACAACTCCTCCTCCCTGGTGCCGCGCCTGCCAAACTCACGGGTTCCAGTGCTCCTTGGAGACACGGTACAGCGTGCCAAAGATGGTAGGCAGTACTGTGTGACAATTGTCCTCCACCAGGCTCAAGATGTATTCATTGTTCCAGAAATACAAGGCCCGTTCTGCCACCTGTTTTGGGGGAGAGGGCACAGAGAAAGGCCATCATGGTTTGAAAGCCTATCTGAAAGTCCGCAACGCAGCTGCCTTCCATAAGCTGGTTCTCCAGCTAGGCTTTGTTCACCCTCCTTCCCCACCCAAGGCACCTGGAAGTGAGGGCTGGCGATGCATCGTGCCACCTGCTTGAACAGCGGCTCCTGGATCTTCACAAACTGTGAAGGTTCAATGACATCCAGGATCTCCTCAATTTCCCCTAAGAGCATCACCTGGTCCGGAAGGGAAGTGGGAGAAAGAGAAGAGGAAGTGAGGGAGGGGCCCTGTAGCTGCAGACAGGCCCAGGCATTTCCAGCACCCCCGTGTGGATGCTGACCCACTCCCCTTCTTGGCCCTTCTGTACCTCCTTCTGGGTGCAGGTCTTCGGCCAATATTTCAACAGGCCGCGTATCACCTACGTAACAACAGAGAGAGAGCGTGAAGGGGAGGAAAAAGAAGAGGAAAAGCAACATTTTAATTTTGTTTGCCACCCTGAGTCACTTGCTGAGGCGGGCGGCTATACAAATTGAATCAATCAGTCGATCAAGAGAATGAAAGAGAGAGAGAAAAAAGAATAAGATGTGAAGGAAAGAGAAAGAACAAGCATGAGAGAACAAGGGGGGGGGAAGTTAAGAAAGAGTCAACAGCAAAACAAGGGGGAAGGAAATGAAAGAGAAACAATGAAACAGAGAAAGGATGCAAGAGAAAGTGAGAATGAGAGAGAGCAAAAGCAAGAGAAGGAAGATTCAAACAGAATTCAGTTCCCTAAACTCCTCTTCTGACTGGCTTCTGGTTCTTTCAGCAAAATCTTTCCTTTGGGGCATCAACACAGAAATCCTGGGTTCAACTCTGCCCAATGCCAACCAAAAGAAATACGGAGACCGTAAAGTCCTGCCGCTGACTGAAGGAGGTGAGCTGCCGAGCTGCAGTCTCGCCTTGCCTACGCACGGCCCCCTCACCCACTGCAGGCTACTCCTGCCCTGCTTCTTTTCTTCCAACCAGCCCCCTTCCCCGCGGCAAAGGCTGGACTCACATGCTCCGTCAGCGTGGCATCTTTTTCCAAGAACTGAACCACGCAGTAGGCCAGCTGCAAGAGAGGAATCAGGGTGAGACGAAATGGCTGTGTGCAGCCGAGGACCCTCACCCACCGCCTGCTCCTCTCCAAGGGTGGAGCCCCCCGACCCTTCATCTCCAGCCCCCCGGTGCCTTCCAAGCCAGGGACCGCTCACCTGGGCGTGGAAAATGGAGAGTGATTTCACCGAGTGAAGCGGGATAAGGACGCGGATCAGGAACTGCTTGTGTTCGGTCTTCAAGGGCAAGGCGAAGCCGTTGATTATACTGAGAGGAAAGGGAAGCCAACGGAGTGATTTCCGGGAGGGAGGACCATCCCCTGCAGGGATGTTGGATCAGCCAATTTCTCACACCAGCGGGGGGTGATCTAGTCGAGTGTTTCTCCACCCTAGCAACTTTAAGATGGGTGGACTTCAACTCCCAGAATTCCCCACCCAGCAATCTCACCTATCTCAAA